TTGGTAATTTTATTATGTGTTGACATTTAAGTTTTTGTTATCTAATAGTTTGGTTTCCATTGTACTTTTACACTTTCAATAAACAGCAGGTGAATCAGTTAATATTTCAATAATGATCATGATAACGACAAAATAATTAGTAATGTCAATAAACCCAAATTTGGTAGTGATGATGATGATGATTTATTGCTCTTACAGTGTTCTTATTGTTACTTTGTTTATATATACATTGTTTTTACTTATATTCATTATATATTCATAAAATAATATCCTATATATACCAACCAAACTTTTTCTCTATTGCACCAGATTATATGAGATTAACAAGGTTGAATAATATTCTTGGCTTGGGTACAATTCTTTTAGATTAGCCTCGATAATATTTTAATACAAAGCAAAGTGAACCTTGCATGTGGAATAATAAATAACAAAATTCATTGCCAGATATTGATATTTTCATGTTCATGGGAAAAATGAAATTTTCTGATCGTGGAAAAGGCCGTACAGCTTACAAAATAAATTAGGTAAAAAAACATGCAACATCAACTTTGTCATATATATATATATATATATATATATATATATATATATATATATATATTTATTATATATATATATATATATTATATATATATATATATATGTAAAGAATTAAATCTTTTAGCGAAAGCCGCTATCGCTTTTATATATTAAATGGCCAACTATATGGCCTAGGAGACAAATTCGTTAAACTATATATATATATATATATAGTTTATATATATATATATATATATATATATATATATATATCTATATATATATATATATATATATATATATATATATATATATATATATATCGAGAAAAGGAGTTCGACCGTCAATCCAATATAAAATAGGGATCACTCGAAGAGTGGCGGGTCTTTCGGTCAAAAATTGGAGAAAAAAAGACAAAGATGATGGCTACTTCATCTATTTATTGAAAACGTTTCGCTATCCAATTTGATAGCATCATCAGTTCATCTAAAAAGAACATTATGAAAAACTAACATCCAATGAAAAGCTATTAAGTATGTTACCTCAAAAAGATATGTAGCAGTCACAGATATTCACAATTATTGTAAAGAAGCTTACGACAATGGACATTATATAATTATGTTGTATAAACAATAAATTGAACTAAACACAGTTGACAATTTTCATAAAATTAGCACAGCAAAAAAAACATGTGGTAGTAGTACATGTATGTTAAAAAAATATATGTAAAAACTTTATCATGTATAAAAACAAAGTTAGTGTACAAAAGAACAAAAAGGTCCAAGAATGCACTTCCAACAGTAATTAAATAATTAAGATTTCATTTTAACTTTAGGTGGCATTATTCTAATGTTTAATTAAAAATTTTAGTAATTTAAAAGTAATAATGAAGTTACCACTAAGCTTGTCGAGTGCTGCCGGTGAAATGAAGGCAACAGGTGTTAAACGTCAACAACGTGAATCTGTTGGCATCTGTCTTTTCACGTCTACATCTATAAATGTCTACTAATTTCATGATCTTATTCAATACATTAATGAACATGAATAAACCCAATGGTACACCTATTAAAATGTAAACAAACATGCTTCCTCATTTCCTCATCTTAAATAATGTAAATTGTATGTACTTACAAATGAAATGAGAGATCGGGATGTAAATATTTCGTTTACTTTATTTCACTTTTCACAAATATCACTCAAAATACAGCCAAAATATCTAAAAACAACTTTTTCCTCATTTACTGTGAAAAGTAAACAAACATGGAACAGCATTTGAAGTTTGACGTAGATCCATAAGACAGAGAAATGTAAACAACCGTTGCCATTTATAAATAGTTTTCAGTGCTTCTACATATAAAATAATTGATTGATATCTATTATACGCTATTATTAAATGATAATGCACACTATGTGCACACTTTATTTTGATTACAATTAAATATATTAATATAACCAATAAATTATTATTTTGGTTTGATAGCACCTGTAGAGTATAAAATACGGAGTAATATTTTCAGCGACTCGCGAATAAGAAATTTTAAAACAAAACGTGACAACAGTTGAAGGTGCTGAGAATGTGACCTATTCAAATAATTTTTGACTTCACAATTTTATGTAAATAACTGAGTCCATCTGTGTTTATACGTCCATGTTTATTATTGTCACGGTGTCTTCGGAGTGCATGACTTTGGTTTTGTTTAAATTCATTTTCAGTCCTATTTTAGAAGATTCGGTATGTAGTTCTAAAAGCATGGTTTGCATTTCTTATAGGTCAGTAGCTATCAGAATTATGTCATCTGCAAATCGTAGATTACTGAGGTAGCGGCCATTGATGTTTATTCCCTTATATTTCCAATTAAGGTTTTTAAAAACGTCCTCCAAAACTAAGGTGAACAGTTTGGGTGATAAAGTATCTCCCTGTTTGACTCCCCTGTTTAATGGTACAGGGTTCGTGTGTTCATTTTCATTTAGGTAGTATGTAGCTGTAGCTTGGTTCATAGTTTCTTTTATTAAGTTAATATATCTGCTGTCTATTCTACAATTTTGCATTGCGTTTATTACGGCCGTGTGTTCTATGGCATCGAAAGCTTTTTCGTAGTCTACAAATGCTAGGAAAACTGGAAACTTATATTCGTTACATTTTTCTATTAATATTTTTGTGGTTAACAGGTGATCGGAAGTTGAATAGCCTTTTCTAAAACCTGCCTGTTCATATGGTTGGTATTCGTCTAATTTCCTTGTTAGTCGAGTAGTTATGACTTTGGTGAGTATTTTAAACAGGTGTGACAGTGGGCTGATGGGTCTGTAGTTTTCCAATTTTCGACTATCACCTTGTTTGTGTAATAAGATTACTTTAGAGTTGTTCCAGTTCTTAGGGACTTTGCCCTGATGTAAACAACTGTCCACAAGCTTAGTTACAATTGCAATTAGTTCCTTACCTCCTTCTAATATCATATCTGTGGTAATACTATCTTCTCCTGTAGCTTTATTTCTCTTCATGTTTTCTAATGCTTTAGTTACCTCTGCAATTGTTACTTTTGGACATTATTTATGATCCAACATTTTTTATTAATTTCCGTGCTGGTCTCATCTCATCATCTTGTTGATGTGTTCTGTAAAGTTCTGTGTAAAATTCTTCTATTCGTGTCAGTATGTTTTCTCTAGTTGTGATTTCATTTTCGTCTTTTCCCATTAATGATATCATCTGACGTCGTCCTAGTGTCGGTCTGAGGCATTTCATACTCTTATTTTTTTCAATAGTTGTTGTTATTAATTTTTTGTTTTCTTTTCTTTTTTGTTGTCTGATTCCTTTTCTAATCTGCCTAATAAGTTCTCTATATTCGTCGGTTCCGCTTTTGTTAGATTTATTTAAGATCTTCCGTTTTTTTATTTGTTGTAATATATCTTTGTCTAATTCATTGTATGTTGTTTTTGGGTTTTTCAGTTGCAAAAGGCTTTTATTCACTGTTTCGGTAATAAGGTTATTCAAATCATCAATATCATTGGAGTTTATCTGCTGCATGCTAACTTGATTTAATGCATGCGCTATCTTTTTATTAAATTCACTATTTTTGATTTCTTCAGATGTCGATTTCTATCTTTTTTCATGTATTTTTTTTTATAGTTTTTGTTAATTATTAGTTTTGTTCTTATTAGTCTATTATTATATTAAGATATAATCTATTTCATTCTTTGTCTTTTTATCGGGGCTCATCCATGTCCATTTTCTACTTGGTTTTTTATTGAAAAAGGAGTTCATTGAGTACATGTTATGTTCTTTCATGAAATTGAGAAGCATCTTTCCTCTATCGTTTCTTTTCCCGTAGCCATAGTTACCAATTAAATGTTCATAATCTTCCTCTTTTTGCCCAATTTAGCATTAAAATCTCCTAATAGTATTTTGTAATTTGCTTTATTTGTTTCTATAGCTGTTCTTATTTCATCATAAAAAATTTCTACTTCTTCATCGTCGTGGCTTTTGGTCGGAGCGTAACTTGGATCACTTTCAGAGTGGTTCTTTTATTAATCCTGATGATGAGATATGCTACTCTGTTTGATATAGGCTTGAATTCTTCGATACAGTGTGTGAGGCTTTGTTTTACCAAGAATCCACTCCCGTGTATTCGCCACCTTTATGCATAAAATGTGTGCCATTTTTTAGTATTATATACTCATCACTTTTTCTTCTGGTCTTGCATATACCAAGGATATCCCATTTTATATCCTTTAGTTCACTTTCTATTTCTGGGAATCTATTGTCGTCCGTCAGTGTTCGAATATTGTAGGAGCATAGCCAAATTGTCATCTTGTGGCAGCCGGGTCTTACCCAGGGATTCTTGGCACCCCTCCTTCCGTTAGTTGTTTGATCGCTGCCGTGATCAAGACTCTGGGAAGTGCTGGGCACGGGGGCCTTTTCTTTTTTGTCCAGTACAATGACTTGAAGGTTTGGACCGTTATCTCCTCACGCTGGTCCAGTGCGGGTTGAGGAGGGAAGGGAAGGATTTGAGTAGGTCTGGGTTGGTGGGTAGGATTTAGGGATTAGGATCCGTTTCTCTCCCGGAAGAGGATTGGGAGAAAAAGCCGAGCTTGCGTGGGCAGGGGCGCATCCCTGAAGCAGACCTGTCTTTACCGGGATCGTAAAGAGTGTCTACCCGCTACTATTGTTGTCATATATTAACGTACAAATATCTATTCTCCTCTGCCTACTTTCTACTAAATTAGAAAAACCATTACTCATTCAAATATTTGAATATTACAAATCTAATAGTCTGTCGGGTTGAACCGCGTTGATTATTATTGCGCCGAGCTTTTGACATCCTCTCTGGCGAAATAAAAATCAAATCAGTTAACGACTAGTAGAAAAACCTTAATAAGTATATATTTTACATATTTCAAAATGTTAACTTTTTGCAATTTATAGACGCTATTGAAAGTCTCTTTTTTCATACTTCTATTTATTATTTTGATTCAACTTGTTTTAGGGCTAGGACACCATCTAAGAGTATGGAACGGTATGAAAAAATAGGAAAGTTGGGAGAAGGAAGTTATGGTATTGTTTATAAATGTAGGAATCGAGATACTGGAGAAATTGTGGCTATCAAGAAATTTGCTGAAAGCGAAGAAGACCCTCTAATAAGGAAGATAGCACTCAGAGAAATTAGACTTTTAAAGGTAAGAATTAAAATAAAGAATGTGTTAATCCCATTTTTTATATCATTATTGGAGGTATATTGCCGATAGGTGCTTCTTTATTAAATTATTTTTTTGATTACTAGAATTACCATAATTTTCTTTGCCTGTAATCCTACTATTAATTCAGTTTATGACTTATTTTTAATGCTGGTATATATCATCTAAAAAAATTATAGGGGCATAACAGTTTTAAATGTTGTCTATAAGATATTATCAGGATATACAGCCACGTGGAATCGGTTTCGGAGGAGATGATTGGTGAATACCACTGTGGCTTCAGACCAAAGACGTCAACTATAGATCAAATATATATGTTAAGAGGTATACATGAAAAATGTGTTGAATATAATATACGTATTTACAACTTGTTATCGATTTCAAACAGGCGTTTGATGGAGTAGGTCGACAAAAGATGTTAAAGCAACTATCTATGTTAGGGATACCCAATAAGTTGATTAAACTTATACGAATGACTCTGGAGGGTTCCAAAGCTATGGTGAGAATATATTGAGATATGACGCAGGCTTTGATATTGAAAATGAAGTTAGACAAGGTGATGCCTTATCCATAACACTTTTTAATCTAACTTTAGAAGCTGTTGTTAGAAAAGTGGATATAAACTGCTGTATTAATACAAGATCAATGCAAATATAAGCATATGCGGATGATGTTGTCATAATAAGCCGCACCAAAAGGGTATTAAGCGAAAAAGTTATAGAACTGAAACGAGAAGCTGCTATATGGTCTATATATAAATGAAAGTAAAAATATATGGAATGCACAAAATCGAATCAACATGAGAATCTGAAGGTAGACAACCATACCATAAAAATGCCTCCACTTTTCCTTACCTAGGCTACATAATAAAAGATCAGTCAAGAAATACAAGCACGTATTCTTAGGGGTAATAAGTGCTTTTATGCATACAAGACTTAATGAAAAGTAAGTTACTGAATCGTGAGTCTAAGCTTAGAAATCTACAAAACGGTAATTAGACCAGTGGTCATATATGAATGTGAAACGTGGACCCTCTTAACCATTGACGAAAATCAACTAAGAATATTTGAGCGCAAAATACTAAGGAAGATATTTTTTACCAACCCAATGAAGCGATGGTTCGTGGAGAATTAAAATGAACCACGAGCTGGATGAACTAATGCAGAGCGCAGATATAGTTAGATTTGTAAAGTCACCAACACTAAACTGGCTTGGTCAACTAGAAAGAATGCTAGATAATCAAGCTGTAAAAGTAGTTCAGAGATGGAAGCCCCAAGGAAACAGGACAAGAGGAAGGCTCCATAAAAGATGGATAGACGACGTAGAGAGGGATCTTAAAACCATGAACATCAGGCAGTGGCGAAGGAACTGGATTATGGCAGTTGGATAGGGGCACTGGATACGATAGGGCAGAATGAAAGAAAATTGTTAAGCAAGCCAAGATTCACAAAGGGTTGTAGTGCCATTAGAAGAAGAAGAATATATCATCATAATTATTCGGGCTGTACAATTCTGCGTGGATCCTCAAGAATTTCTCTCCAGTCGTTCTTATCCATCGCCTTGCTTTGCCAAGCACGTATTCTCATATTTCTCATGCCATGCTGGTATATAAAGGCTCTAAAATCGAATAAGAAGTTGGAGCTGGAGTATACGGAGGAAAACCAAGCCTTAGTGAAAGCCTAGATAATCACTCTACTATCTTCAAATCAGAAATTTATGCCATAAAGACCTACCAGCCGGAACTAATAAAGAGGAACTGCAGGGACAGATCTATAAAAATTATATAGGATAACCAGGAGACAATAAAGTCACTAGAATCGATTGCAGTTGACTGTTAGTTATTTTGGAACTTTCTTCAGAATCAGATCTGATAGGACCGGAAAAAATAACAAAGTAAGTTTACTCTTGGTACCTGGACGTACTGTTTCGAAGGAAAAATCCATAACTTCCTACTGTAATATTCTTGGTTCATCATTTACCTTTTCTTGTAGCTCAAAGGTGTTATCTCTTTGGTCTTTAAATAGTTTTTCTAGATATTTTTTTCAACGTTCTTATTTTACTCTGTTTGTCCAAGATGATGTTTCCGTCAGAATCAGTTATATTTTCTTTCTACTTTCGTCTTAGTCCTCCTTTGAGTTCTTTAACTTTCCTATGTACAATGTGACTATCGTACTTTGACCGCAGAGTCTCAATTTCTTTGCATCTTTCCCTTGCTTCTTTTTCTTAAATGGGGAAAGCAAAAAGATGAACAGCAGCTATATCAAAAATCATGCTAAATATAGAACAACCAATACCAAATTCTTAAAAAAAAGAAAAAGAGCTAGGAATAATATTAGAAGAGCTAAAATCAGACAGTATAATACAAAGCTCCTCCATAGGTGGTAGGACTTTTAATGATACGGTCCTGACTGCTACTAGATCATCAAGACAAAAGAGATATAAAAGCACACACTAGAAGGAGACCAAGACTGACCGAGAAAGCTCACAATTTCGATAAGAATATAAGTATTCTATAATAATATAATTTATAGATGAAGGTGTTTTGCAAAGCGACACGCCTGAAGTTACTTTCGTAGAAAACTCGTATCGGGTGGGTTGCTGCAGAAGAGGGGCGTATTTTTAGTTGATACAAGGATGGGCAGTTGTTTTGCGTAGGCACCCTCCTCTACAAGGAGAAGTCCGTGCCTTTACACTATTAGATCCGAATCCAACACACATCTAGTCATCCATTGAGTTAATCAAGGAATATGTCTCGATATGGTTTTTTGAAAGATTTTTACACCACATTAAAGTGGTTACACAGAACTGGTTTTTCTAAATGTGAGAGTAGGATTCTACTTCTTCTTCTTCCTATTTCTATGCAATTCTGCTTCTTCATTGGCGGATTAATACCTATATGGAAGGTTGTTACTCTATATTTTTTTATTTGACGACAATCGCCTCCTCCGTTCTGTTTATGTGGTTATTCCATTATTTTTTTCTATTATATCTATCTATCTATCTGTTGTATATCTTCTAAACTTATCCTCTGATTTATTAGTACTTGTAAAATTTGAATGAACATCCTGTACATTTATATTAAGTTCTTCATTTGTAGTAATTTCTAGTGTTTCAGGTTCTAGCGTCGTTTGTTCTTTCTCTGCACAGAGCTTTTTTAGGTAGTCAATTCACGTATCCTTTTCCATGTATTTTGGTTCTATTAGTTCCTTTACCTCTATTTTTTGACCTCTTATGAAGCGCCATACTTTCTTTTGCAGACTGTAAAAATCATGTTCCATTTCTTTCGAAAAGCATTCCCAGTGATCACATTATAAAAAAGTGGTTACACGGTACTGGTCCTTCGAAACGTAAGAGTATGATTCTACTTTTAGAATCTCTAATTTATTCGTGAGGATCAGTGGATATTGCTTAAAGTTTTGCTGGAGACACACTGCCTCTAAGATATACCAATCTTTAACTATCGATAAATTTAGTATCAAATATATTTTTGTACAATAGCAAACTGTAAAATCTAAAAGATACCAGAAAGAATAATTAAAAAACCATAAGACGTAAACAGCCTAAAAGCTTTACCGGTATTATAAATTCTTAAATATCGAGGTCAAATCTCAAAGCCCATGTGCTGTGAAATGTTATTGATTTGTATAATAGTGGTTGATTGATTTACTTTAGTAAATATTGCCATTGTTTAATCTTGATTAATATTATTTCTTAATATTATTATTATTTATATCTTATATTTTAGAATCTTAAACATCCCAACCTCGTGAACCTCATTGAAGTATTCAGAAGAAAACGACGCCTTCATTTAGTTTTTGAGTTTTGCGACAAAACGGTTTTAAATGAATTGGAAAGATATCCACGTGGTTGTCCAGATCTTCTGACTCAGCAGATTATATGGCAAACTCTTCAAGCAGTAGCGTACTGTCACCAGCACGGCTGCATTCATAGGGATATTAAACCTGAAAATATACTTTTAACAGCTACGGGTGTTGTCAAATTGTGTGATTTTGGATTTGCAAGGATGTTAAGTGAGTAGTCATTTAAGAATGTAGTATAGCTACGACAATAAATTTGAATGCTTAGTTATTTTAATAATTTTAAATAAAACCATATTTTTTTTATATAAACCGAAAATATTTGTTTTACATTTAAGATCCCGGAGAAAATTATACGGACTATGTTGCAACACGATGGTATAGAGCACCGGAGTTACTTGTAGGTGATACGCAGTATGGAACTCCAGTGGATGTGTGGGCAATAGGTAATAAATTATAAAAAATTGTTTATATAATATAACCTTTAAATAATGCACTTTCTCGAACCATACTTACTTAAGTATCAAAAATGTTTTTCTCTCTACAGTCAGTAAGTGTAAATCTGTCGTGTAAATATTTTGTCTTCGGTGTCTTCTTGTCTAAATATATATATATATATATATATATATATATATATATATATATATATATATATATATTATATATATAATATATATATATATATATATATATATATAATATATATATATATATATTATATATATATATATATATATATATATATTATATAATATATATATATATTTCTATATATATATATATATATATATATATATATATAGGTTTTAAAACGTCCTCCGACGTCTTCCGATGCCCAATCTCCATGCATCTCTATCTTCCCAAAGATCTTCGTCTAAACCTCTCTCTCGGATCTCTCTGTCTATTCCTTCTCTCCAGCTCTTTCTGGGTCGGCCTCTTTTTCTCTTTCCATGTGGTGACCAATCTATAATCTGTTTGGGCAGACGATGTTCTGGCATTCTCTGCACATGTCCATACCACTTTAGTTGTTGTACTCTTATATCTTCGACAATCGTATGTGTGACTCCCATAACCTCTCGTATACGTTCGTTATTAATTCTTTCGAGTTTTGATTTTCCTGCGGCCCGTCTCCAGTAGTCCATCTCCGTGGCTTGTAGTGTTCTTTCAGTAGTTGCCTTTAACTGCCACACGTCACTTCCATACATTACTATAGCTCTTTATAATAGTGTTGTATATTCGATGTTTATTTTTTTTTGGATATATGTTGATCCCAGATAATACTATTTAGTTGAGATATGGCCCTTCTACCCTGAGTGTTTCGTTTTTTTATAGCCTGATCTGATTTGCCGTCGTCTGTGATTTCTACTCCTAAATAGGAATATTTATTGTTGTACTTAATGTGTTGTCCGTCGTTTAAAACTAGATTTTGTTCTTTACCACCGATGTTCATGTACATTGTTTTATCTATGTTGACTTCTAATCCCCATTTTTTGTATTCTTCGATTAATTTTCGAGTCATGTATTCTAGGTCGTCATATTCGTTAGCAATCACAATTTGATCATCAGCAAAACATAGAGTGTACAGGTTGTTATTGTTTAATTGTATACCCATGCCGCTGCATTTCCGCTTCCAGAGTTTTAATGCTTGTTCCAGATATATTTTGAAAAGTGTCGGCGCTAAGCAGCATCCCTGCTTCAGTCCTTTGTCTACTACAAAACCTTTGGAAACCTTCGTTCCTATTTTAACTTTGGCGTTGGCGTTCTCATATAGTTTTTCCACTGCTGTTATGAGATTTGAGTTGATGTTCGTTTGTCTGAGAGTGTTCCATAACTTATTTTGAGGGATGCTATCGTAGGCCTTTTTTAGATCAACAAACAAAAAGTGGACTTCTTGATCTACAGCAACCTTTTTTTCTATAAGTTGGGTGATACAAAAAAGGTGGTCTATGGTCGATCTACCAGCTCTAAAACCCGCCTGTTCTCTGCTCCATATCAGTGTATTCTCTTTCTATTCTATTTTTGATCATTTTCCCATAGATTTTACTAATGGTACTAGTAACTGCTATTCCACGGTAATTGTCGCAATTTTGTTTGTTTCCCTTTTTATGTACAGTTGAAATGATTGAGGTTTTAAATTCGGCTGGAACCTCTACTTTGTTTATGCAGTTTTAAAAGAGTATTGTCAAATGCTCATATAGTTTTTCAGTTCCATATTTTATCAGTTCTGAGGGTATATTGCCAGGTCCGGGCGCTTTTTGTTGTTTTGAAGTGAAATACAGATATCCCTTACTTCCTTTTTCGTGATTCTTATAGGAGATGCTTCAACGCGTATGTTTTGGTTACTTTCTTTTATTTTGAATTCCATTCGGTCTTCTTGTAACAGTTTACTGAAGTACATGCCCATGTTTCTAACGAAATTGGTGAGATTAAATCTTTTTTCTTGTCGTTGGTCCTAAGAGATTTAATAAGTTTCCAGCTTTCTGTACTTCTAGTTCTTCCTATGTACGTATTTAATTTTTGACAGTTTTGATCCCAGGATTCATTTTTTTTTCTGTCTTATCATTTGTCTCACCTTAGCTTGATGGTTTTTGTAATCAGACCAATTTGTATCTGTTTTTGCACTTAAATATTGTTCATACTTTTGTTTCTTTTGTTTTATCGCTGTGTCTATTTCTTCATCCCACCAGTATGGAGTATTTTTGTTTTTCTTTTTGTAATATCCAAGCGCTTCTTTTGCTGCAGAGTAAATACTTTCTTTAATGTAATTGTAGTGGTCTTCGATGTTATTGAAATTTATGTTTTCAAGTTTCTCGTTCAGTCTGTTTTGATACAATATTTTTACACTATCTTGATCTAGGCTGATAAGATTATATCTTACATCTTCTGCCATCTCTGAGCGAACTACTGATTGTTCATTCTGGTTTCTTCTTGAAAACATTATTGTTGCTTTTAAGAAATGGTGGTCGCTTCCACAAACTGCGCCTCTATAAGCTCTTACGTCGTAGATTTTAAGATTTGATCTTTGGCGTACAATCAAGTAATCTATTATAGAGTTTAGATTCCTTGTTCCCTGTCCCCAGGTGTATTTGTGTACTTCTCGATGCTGATAGAATCCATCTGTAATACGGAGCTGGTTCTGTTCGCATATTGTGATAAGTCTGGTCCCATTGTCATTTGTTATGCTTTCTCCGTAAGGACCAACTATTTTATAGTTTTGTTTTTTTCCGACCCTGCCATTAAAATCTCCAAGCAGGATTAATTCTCTCGTATTTCCTATCGATGTTATTTCTCGGTTTAGTTTCTCGTAGAATTCTTCTTTCTTGTTAACCAGTGCATCATCGTTAACTGCATATACACCTATTATTATTGTTCTGAAGCTATTTTCTTGTGGCATTGTAAATTAATTACTATTTATAACTGGGAATAAGCCACAATTAAAGATAAAAAATACGTTTATTGACGTTTCAATTTCCAATTCGGAAATCGTTCTCAAAATACAAACAGTAATTTACTGTTTGTATTTTGAGAACGATTTCCGAATTGGAAATTGAAACGTCAATAAACGTATTTTTTATCTTTAATTGTGGCTTATTCCCAGTTATAAATAGTAATTAACACCTATTATTGTTAGTTTATGACCATGTATATTGAGGTTTATTTTAATTAGTCTTTCATCTATGGCTTCCCAAGTGGTGATATATCTTCTTAGGCTTTTACGAATAATTATTGAGACTCCTTGTTGTACTCTTTTTTCTTTTGATATGCCGCTATATAAATGGTCGAAATGCCCTAAGTTTTCTGACCCTGTACCTTTTTTCTTGGTTTCTGTTAACACCACGATGTCCATATTAAGTTTCTTTATTTCATGCATTACTTCATTGAGTTTTGTAGAGAGACCCTGTACATTCCATGTTCCTATATTCTTGATCAATTTTCGTAGCTTAAGTCGTCGTGTTTTATTCCATCCGTTCCGAGGCTGTAGATTTGGCTTTTTAACATTTTTACATTTTTCTGAGTATTGAGGAGTTAGCCCAATGCCTCAACCCCCAACCTGGAGGACCGGGTGATTTGTCGTCAAGGTTTTCTTCCTCTAGCCTTTGATGGTTCAGCATCTAACTATAAGGCAGCAGCTTCGCCTGCACCCTAGGCAGGGGCCCTTACAGGGTGCTATCATCCGGGCCAGATGAACCCTGGTTTTTTTACGAGGTTGTTACTCCTCCCCCTTCCTCCTTTATCCGGGCTTGGGACCGGCAACATGGCAGCTAAACTACTCAATTCGCCCAGCCGTCATGCAGGCGGAGTTTTCTTCTTCTTGTCTAAATTCGGTGTTTAATTTCGGTTTCTTCCAAGCCGTTTTTATCAATGAGTGCACCTAAATTATTAAATTTAAAAAACATACGAATCAATATTATACAAACAATCAAAAACATCTGCTTCCTTAATCGAATACAGGCAAAGATAAATGGAAAACTAACTCAGTGTATACCAGTACAAAGCGGAGTCAGACAGGATGACTCGTTAAGCCTACTTCTCTTTAATATAATAATGGACGAAATAATAAAAGCTGCACGCAAAGGTCATGGTTACAGAATGAAGAACGACAGAAGACGAGCTCCAAAGATTAACACACATCTTCAATACAACAGCCAAGAAATACAATATGATAATATCAGCAGAAAAAAACTAAATGTATGACAACATCTAAACACCCACTACGGTTAATATAATAAATAGCTTATTAAATGGACCACTCTATTTGTTGTAGGTTGCGTTTTAGCCGAACTCATAAAAGGTGAAGCACTGTGGCCCGGAAAATCAGATGTAGATCAACTCTTCCTCATAAGATCAACAGTCGGTGACCTCTTACAAAGACACATGCAGGCTTTCAAAAATAATGATTTTTTTAGCGGTACTATTCTTCCAGTTCCTGGACAAATTACACCTTTAGAAGTTAGATTACCTATGGTAAACCCCACTACCTTGGACTTTTTAAAAGTAAGTATTTGTAAAATTGAAGATGAACAGAAAGTACGAATTTAGTTTTTTAATACAAAGAACTGTGAGAATCGCGTCTAAAAATGGTTTAGAAATACAAGGACCAAGTTGATCATACACATATCCATATGATGTCAATATAAACCACGAACTATAACTGGATCAAAAAAGGTTCATCATCTAGTTATAGTCTTCTCGACTGTTCTGCCTTTTTCTGGACATATGTAAAGTTCTGATTTGATCATTTATTTAATCATCTGTTTATAAAGCTTTGTAAACATTTTATCATACTATCTATATTATTTCCCTTTGTAAATACCAGTAAATCGTCAGAATGAATCCGTGCTTTTAAAGGTTTTCTGTGCTTTTCAAAACATCATTTATGGCTACTAGAAAGATTAAAAATATCACTCATAATAGACAAAAATTGTTTGATGAACGATAGATTTTCCACCTATACAACGTTTTTAGATCGATGTGCTGTGTTTGGTGCCTGGTGATAGCATATTTTCTATCAGATGCAACCGAGTCCAATATATCGCTTTCGAGTTCCAGAATGTTATCAGCCGTTAATTGATTGTGTCTTAATTTATTCTGCTCATGTAATCAGTAGTAGATTTTTGACAATGTCCACATTAATCTACTATTAAAGATTATTTCTATAAGTTTGCATACGGAACACGTAATTGAGATTGGCCTGTACGATTCCACACTATATCGTAATTTTTTATTCTTTTAAAAGAGGTAGCACGTCGGAATTAATTCATATTGAAGAAACGCGCTCTGCATGAAACATGAAATTAAATAATTAATAATAAATCAAATAAATATTTAAATTTATTAAAGATGTGGATTCCTATTTAGGATAAGGGCAAATACGTACAAAATAACATATCATAGTTATACATCATAGTGTAATTAGTTATACATTTAAATAAATAGTATAGTTAAGCGTGTATGTCATTTAGTCCATAGCATATGGACAAAATGGTTTTTGGCTAATCTTAGTTAAATTAAAAGTAATTTTTTTATGTTAAATTTACCTAATAATTAATGATTAGTTTCAATAAATAGAGAACGAGTGATAATTGATATAGAATCTGACAGTTCTGTGTGTTATTAAGCAAGAGCTGTGATCAAATAATAAAACCATAAATATGTCATTTTGTACGTACTTCCCCTACTAAGTATATTTTAAAATTCTTTGTAGTGTATTTAGCAGATTGTATATTATAACGTTTGTTTTAGAAATGTTTAGATAAAGATCCAGTGAAACGGTGGACCTGTGAAAAGCTTCTTACACATGCTTATTTTCAAAACTTACATTACAAAATTGAAGAAAACGATATCCAAACTAATGATAAAATAAGGGATAAGTCTAGAGTAAGTAGCTCTCTAATGCAAACTTACATATTAAAGTATAGAAATTTAATTTTTAATGAAATAAATATTTATTTTAAAAACCATTATAGACCTGCTACATTATATATAAGGTTTATAGGTCTTATAGATTATAGGATACGGAGGTAAGTGTAGAATCAACTTCCTCTCGCCTCAGTCGCCGATGATGATCATGGATCTCTCTTCTTTAGAAATCTTCAGTTAATATTTAATTTAACACCTAATATTTCTTCTCTTTGGGTCTAGTATACACAGTGATCGATCGAACATTCTCATAGCAATAGAAGTAAGGTCTCAGCTGCCTTACTATGCAAATGATTCGCCTGTATGACCCAGATTGGTGCCTTCCGGATCCTTAGCCGTGGAGTCCGTAACCGATGATACTTCTCTGTATTTCTCTTCGACATCATCAACATTATCTAATTTGTATTTATCGATATTATCTGACAAATTACGGTCTGTTACATCAGGTGACTGTTACAAAAGCTGTTCTCAAGCTTTTTCTACACTCTATTCTTTTTTTGAATTTCTTTTATTTCTCCAATTTCTTTTTTCTTGGGCTTTCTCCAAATTGTCTTCATTGGTGTGCTTGACAGAATATCCGATTATTGCTGAGAGATTTTCTTTTAATATCTGGTTTAACGGTTTTCGCTGTGTAAGAATTTTTTCTTAGATATAGAAGGCTGAACATTTGTAATATCAAACATTGACTCACCAGTAGATGCATTTTGTTTAAACGTTGTAGGAGCCCCTGGTAGAGAAGAAGCTTCTACTATAATTTACACGGCTGGATTCACATAAGCGAAAGCATCCTCATTAAATTCATTAGAATCTAACGGAGATATTCCAGATGTATGAAAACCTGAGACTGCCTTCTCCAGAGTGGCAACTTTTAGCTAAGAGACGTCACTTTCGGTTATTTTTTCACTAAACAAAGTAAGTCCAAAGGCTGAAGATGATCTGAGGTATGTGGTGGAAGTGACACCAATCAATGTTTTTTCTTAGCACAAATTATATCTTCTTCTTAACGTGCCCTATCAAGTCCCCTTGACGTTGGCGATTGACATGGCGAAACTGTCTCTGTCTCGAGCTATTCTAAATAGTTACTCAGCTTTCTTTATTCCTGTCCACTCTCTGATATTCTTCAACCAAGAGGCCTGCTTTCTACCAATTCTCTGCGTCCTTCGATTTTACCCATCATAATAAGTTGAAGAATATTATATCGGTCTCCCCTTACTACGTGTCCAAAATAGGCCATCTTTCTACATTTGATGTTATCAAGCAGCTCGCGAGCAGCATTTGCTCTCTCAAGGAATGCCACATTTGTCAGCATAGCCGTCCATGGAATTTGTAGTATACGTCTGTGCAGTCACATTTCAAAGGTCTCCAGACGATTAATGATGGATATTTTCAATGTCCATGCTTCGACACCGTATAAGAGGACTGACCAAATGTAGCATTTAACCATGCGCTTTCGAAGTTGAAGTTGCAAGTTATCACTACAGAAGAAGACTTCATTTTTAAATTATATGCATCCATAAAAATATGGATGGAGGAGTTATCCAGAACAAAAAGGATGTAATGAGCTGCTGTGGGCTTTGCATGTCTTACAAAATGACATAGCCACTCATTAAAAAGTTCTGTATTAATCCATCCGTTTTTGGAACATTTGTATAAAGCACCAAAAGGTCCATTTTCTCAAGTGTAAGAGACATTCTTTTTTCTAGGATAGATCAACGTGGGGGGACTATAATTTATTATAGCACTTATGTACAAAATGGCTGTGATAGTTTCCACGTTCGCCAGATAAGCAGATCCTACCTTTTTAGCTCCTTTAGCAATAAAATTTGGACATTTTTTGGACTGTTGTAATGCCAATTTCGTGTATATTAAAAATTCTATTTGGCTCAAACTTAAAAATGTGTTGTTTAAAAAATTTCTTTTTATAAACTCATAAAGCCAATATTTATCATCTAACCTCTTCTCTTTATTAATATTATTTTAAATGTTAATTTCTTCAGCTTACCTGAATACCAATCTAAGTTCTTTAGGTGTTAAGCCTTCTACTTCATCTGTATATACATATGCTCAACCTAAACGGGATGGCTTTTATAGTACTACTATCTTTCTAAGAGACTCATTAATATTCAGCTCAGTGGGGTACTATATTTCTAGGTGTAAAATTCCAAAAGCAAGGGCCTGTATCAAGCAAGCAATTTGATTGAACCCAGCCTATGAGACATGTTCACCCAGGTAGTACGATCGGGTGTAACAATTCATTGGAGCAAGGTGTTTTAATTCGTGTTTAAAAACAGGAATCACCCCACCGTGCTCCAATGCTCTAGACCATCCCTTTCCCCCCTATAGCAATCTGATTCGCTATAGAGGCACAACAATCAGCCAAGTGCTCTTCATGTGGAGGTCCTGGGTAATTGAACCCCAACATGGTTTCCTAACCGTATGTGAAAACTCAGGACAGCGATCTCCGCTTTATTCCTGTTTATCTTAATGTAGCTTATCCGCGAACTAAAATTGCTTACTTGGGCCTCAAGTCTCCGCTCTGAGTCCCGGCTCAGCTCGGCGACTTGGTGCTCAAGGGGTTGGGCCCTACGTGCCCGGGTTTTGGGGTTTTTTGTTAGTTTTTTTGGTGGCCGAAGCCGGTTTTTGTTAGTGTTTTTTTTATTTTTTTGGTGGCGAGGCCGTTTTTGTGTTTTTTGTGATTTTTTTTGTAGGTTGCCTGTGAAAAGAAAAGTCATAATTAGTACATAGTCTACACTATAATAAAGAAAATATTTAAATATTATACATTACCACAATGTAGACTGCATCCTAGTGTGAGCAACAGGGCCCACTGTGAATGAGGCGATTTGCGATATTCTGGGTGATTTGAGCTACGAACTGTCTTCTTTATGTGTGTGTGTTTTGATTAGATTTTCTTCTCACTCTGGGCTTTTTGTAATATTTTGTCCCTATTGGGGGGTTTTTTTATTTTTCCCTCTGGTTTTGCGTTATTCTAATATTTGTTGTTTTGGTCTTTTGTGCTTCCATCTGTGGAAAGCGTCATACCTCATTATCTCTCGTAGGATGTGACTAGGGTGGTTCTCTAGTTCTGCGAATTTTATCCTAGCTTTTTCTTTCATTGTATCAGTCACTCTGATTTGCTGTAACTCTCTGAACAGGAATCTTTCAGCTACGTATCTTGGTACGTTTACCGCTTCTCTTAGGCTTTTGTTGTGTTGGCTGTATTTATATGAAAAAATCAACTAAAGATAATGGCGTCAACCATTCTCTTTATCCCCCTTTATCCACAAATGCAGCTTTTCACTTTTTATGATCACATATGGTCACAAAGTTTTATAGAGTTTATTAAGAATCGAATGTCCAAAACTGCATTCAAATTCATCTTAATTTACGGAAAATCGATAGTAAGGAGTATTTTCTACCTTATTTCCTCAACTACATCTATACTGAAACCTGACAGTTTTATGATCAATGTTTCTATGTTTTTTGAAACTTATCACACCCTTGGTTATTGAAATGCCTCACTTGTTCCAATGGATAATAATCCTCCATTACTATTTTTGTTGTTACATGGTATTTACCATCAAACTTTTGATCTTTGTCGTTTTGACATAGAAAACATAGAAAAATAAAAGTGCGAGATTTATTACTTATGAAAGCATTTTTCTTGAATAAAGACTTTACTTACCTATTTCATAAAAATTAGTCGTCTGTATACAGATATATATTTACAATTTTGTTTCAGAACTCGCTTCTGGGGACCACGTTACCGCAGTTGGCAGGATCAACTCCAATTAGCCCTTCTAAACCAAATAATAATCTACAAAAATCAAAAGTAGATCATTTGCCGACCATTTGACAGCGGTTTTCACTATTTAAATGACTTAAACCAAATTTTTTTTCTACTGACAAATATGATATGGGCACGTTTTGTCATCCTCACTGATCAAACATATCTACTTAAATAAGTCAATCGCCTAGTTCAATAAAAAAAATTAAATGTTTCAAATTAATTTATAACAATATTTTACGGAGAAGCATTTTTCTAGGTGGTACACACCTGATACACAGGTGATACATTTATCTTTCGAATAAAATACAAAATAGCATTATTATAATTTTATTTGAAATGTCTATATAACTGTAATAAGAATTTAATATTTAATTCAATGATTTTGTATGTAAATAACATATTTGTATAGATTTATTTTGGATTGTACAAAATAAACTAGAGCAAGAAGTTTGTTCATTTCTTGATGTTTTATTTCCTCAAAATATAGTTTTCAAACCTGTAGTATATTTTTTTAGAAATAAAACTGGGTGGTTATAATAAAATAGTCTCACATATTATTCTACCGTCCTTAGGAAAAACACCGCATATGCAAAAATTACGAAAATTTAGTTGGGCGCGAAAAGTAGATCTAGAGAGTTAATATTACATGATTATTTAAGAGAAGTACAGTATTTACAATCCCAAATATATATTCTAATAGTATACCTAGCATCTACGAAAATATGCGTGGAATTATGGAAGAACCCCGCAACTACAATTTTACTTAGGTAAAACCCCGCATATTACTTGACGGAGTCTACAGTCACGTGTTTATTCTATTTCAGTAATTTAATAATTTGATTTGGTATCGTGTGCTTATTCGACGAAAATTTTTACCCCATTCCCTCCTTCTATAAAATTAGAAATTAGCCATCATTAGATCAAGGAGAATGAGTTAGTTGGATCGCTAGGCACAAATTCCAGATGGAAGATGGGTCAAAACAACGGGACCACTACTAAAAAATTGATAGGAAACATGTAAGCAAAAATTTACAAAATAAGGATGAAATGAATGAAATTAAAAACTGGAGAATGGTGACCATGATCAATGATCAAAGAACATGATCAAAAAACTTAAAAAAGTAATATCAAAAACATACCAAACAGAAATACACCAAATTTGTTACAAGAAAATGTTTTCTAACCAATTTATAATAAATATAGTGTTAATAAGAAATACTGAAGATATTTAGAGCAGACCAGAATAGTGGAAACAAGTGAATGAATTGAGTCTGTATTGATATTGTATCTGATATTATTTGTAGAAGTATTTATTCCGACCAAAAACTATTAACATTCAGTTGCTGTCACACCAATAGCTCAACTGATCCAAATCAGACTGTAGTTTTTGATAGTCAGCATCATTCTCAATTTTGAATATAATTTTAAATTGTCAGCAAACATTAGGAAAGAAGCAAAGAGGAAACAGGAGGAATGTAAAATAGTTATTGAATAGAAGATATCCTAGGTATGATCTTTGTTGTACTCCTGAAAGTACCTTAATCTCAAACGATTGAAAACCCTGAACACATACTATTGTATTCTTTCAGTTAAGTAGGATAACAACCATTCTAAAAGTTCACCTGATCCAGTCTCTCAACTTATTGATTAAAATCTTGTGATTTACCTGGTCAAAAGCCTTTTAAAGTCTGTGTATACAGCATGGGTCTGGTAGCCATCTTCAAGAGATTATATAAGGAAATCAGTAAATGTCAATTAAATTAAGTTCAGTGGAGCAGCTAGAGAAAAATCCAAATTGTTGGTCAATAAAACAGCATTTTAAAGTTGCTGACAAATAGTCATTTAAAGGTAGAGTTACTACTTCAAATATGCAGACAACTTTAGATGGTACAATTATTGTGAAAACTATAAATTAAAAGAAAAGGAGATTCAAAAATTGAATGAGACAGAAATAACCGACTCGTCATCGAAGAAAGGATAAAATGATGAATGTGTTTAGTAGGGAAAGTCTACAGGTGACACCAATTAATGTAAAAATGAAGGAGCATAGGTTAATATGATTACGGCATAGCAAAACTTGGTAGAAGATACTTAAGTCAGACATATCTGTGAAAAAGATTCCTATTGGAATGACCTAAGATAAAAACTTAAGAAAAAAATGGATTAGAAAAGCCAACCCCATATAGGGGCAAAGGTAAAGAAAATGATGCATTTTCGATAACAATTTAAACAGAAAATTAGATACTTTTTTATGACTTAAATAAAAAACCGCATATTTACGTAACAAAAGTATATTTACATAATTAAAAATCTATGTACAGATCAATACTAAACACCATTAATTTATTTCTTCTCTGGATTGGGCGACTCCTTTGTTTCAGCTTCATTAGAGGAAAAGAAGTGGGTTTTGTAAGCTTTTAAAGCCTAAAAGAAAATAAAGTGTAAAACTATACATTGAGATTGCCTTAAAATATTTAAATGTTAATGTCAGCATGTATACTTCTAAAAATTTCATGATATAAATCGTTTATTTTACTTTTTGCACTTACACTAACAAGAGGCATTTCTTTTCTCTGTTCAGAAGGATCAACTAGATAAGGGACACTCTGAATTTTATACCAACCCCAATGGAATCCCACAATTATAGGTACTACCACCAAAATAACAATATTGTCTTTGGCCCATTTCGATAAATTGATTTTAGACATTATTTTATTTTTAAAAAGTTAATAGGTTTAGGTTATATCACTATTTTTATTTTGATTGTTATGACTTTTGTCACAGCACATTAAAAACTAGCAGTGCCAGTCCTGTATTAACAAGTAAAACGACGATTGGCGCATCCCCTAGTGCCAGGGTGCTTAACTATATATACAAGGCGGTAAATTCAAAAGGCACGTAAAATTACCTAGAATTGTACTCATTTTAAATTAAGGGAAAATCAATATTTTTACTACATTTAAGACGTTAGTAAACGTTATACTTGTCATGTGCCTTGAATCATAATTAAGGCATACATTTTTACTACAAATCGTTTTTGAATCCTTTCAGCTCGTTCAGAAATTACGCTGAGGCAGATTAATTGATATTTGTCAAAAGTAAACTATAAAACGGCACTTCTACTTTCAAAAAGAAGAAGAAGTTCTACTTTTTACTCTATAATCTATTTTATTTGAATTATTTATTATTTGCCATAATGGAAGAAAATATTGAAAATATATTAAGACGACGATGACACGGAGAAGTAATAGATCACAATTTGATAAGAATCTTAATTCTTCACAATATTTTTGATCCTGTAATACCTATTCCACCAGCACCAAGACAACATTTTGTAGCTGAACTAAATTTTCGATTTAAAAACGATATTCCTCGACTAAGTGTTTACGTGTTCCAAATCATTTTAGAACCAAATCTGGCCATATAGTAACAGGTAAATAATATCCATAGCTTGTATTAATTTTTTCTGTTTTGTTTGAGAAACATTTAACAATCATCATCATCATCACTGGCTCGACAACCCTTTTTGGCCTGTTCCAGGATTCTTCTCCATTTTGACCTGTTTCGTGCTTTTTTCTTCCAGTTTTTTATTTTTAAGGTTGTTATATCATTTTCTATTTGTTCATAAGTATCTCCAGCTTTCGGTCTTCCTCTTATTCTTTTTCCTACTAGCATCTGTTTAAATATTTTGTTTGGTATTTCGCCTTCTTCCAATCTTTCTACATGTCCTATCCAGCGCAGCCGTCCTATTTTAATGAATGTTATAATATCCGGAACCTGGTATATTTTGTATAGCTCAAAGTTGTATCTTCTTCGCCAAATTCCGTTTTCTTTTGTGCCCTTATATATGTGTCGCAAGATTTTTCTTTCGAAGGTGGCTAACAACGTTTCCTCTCTTTTATTAGTGAGTGTCCAGGTTTCGGAGCAGTATTTGAGTACCAGTCTTATTAAGGTTTTGTATATTTGGCATTTTGTTTTTCTTGCGACGGTATCTGATTTTAGTTGCCTAATTAAGCCATGGTAACAGTTATTGACAATAAATATTCGCCTCTTCACTTCCTCCGCAACATTATTATTAGACGTGACTAGGGATCCCAAGCATATAAAGTTTTTTACCCCATCAATGTTGTATTCTCCTATTGTTATATCTTGTGGCTGCATTATTTCTGCGTTTTTACTTATCTGCATAAATTGTTTTGGTCTGATTGATTTTAAGACCACTATTTTGTGCAGCTTGTTCTATTTGGTTTTAACATTTAACAATAATTTTATTATTTTAGGAATTGAAGATATTTGTATATTTCTTAGTAGATTAGCATATCCCACACAATTATGTGATTTGGAGTATGTTTTCCAACGAAGATCCCCAGCAGCCTTGTCAGAAATATGCAATTTTGTTTGTAATCCAACCATATATATGATAATTTTGGATATGTTTTAGATAACTTGGTTAATTTGAGACTGTTTGCAACAATGTTCACAGATGAATTAAATTTTATAAAATGTACAAAGCATGGATGTTTATTTATATGTCCATGGTACAAAGTCTTTCAAAATAAGATTTGATTAAATAACCATTCATTGAAGGACAGACATATGTATTTTTCTTGCCCAGTTGCCAAATAAGGGAGAAGCTGTACAGAGTTAGGGTTTAATAGATGGCACTACCTGTAACAGATCAGAAGCATATTATTCGGATCATAAACATTTTCATTTTGTAAAATACCAAGCTGTTGTGTGCCTAGATGGCATAACAGTCAGTTTACATGGAGCATTTATGGGTAGAACACACAATGCTGGAATAATGCATAGGGAATCAGGTTTTTACAATCAGCTGGAAAAAAAGGCACAATTTCCTGACAGCAGCATTTTTGTTCTTTATAGAGACCAGGCTTATGGTATTCAGGAACTATTATTGTGTCCTTATCCAGGACAAGGTGTCAATGAATTACAGCAAAACTTTAATTCCTCGATGTCTACTGTAAGACAAGCAGTTGAGTAGAGTTTTCAGAAAGGTATTGAACCAGAGGATATAGAACCAATGAACAATGACTAGTTCATGCAGTGCAGAAACATAAATGACTATCAATATATCAGATTAAATTGCTTTTTAGTGTATGTTTTAATTAATTAAATAACTTGTGTAAATGTTTTATAATAAAAAAAATCAAATTTCACTTAGAAGAAGACAATTTATTTACTAAAATATTTATAAGTTGTTGCTGGCTTGCTATTATTTCATTTAATGATTTTCGGATTTCAATCTCATAATTTAATTTTTTTGCTTCTAATTCAAATCTTTTATTTACTTCAACTTCTTCCAGTGCAAATTGTCTTTCTGCTAATGTACATTTTTTCTCCTCTAATAATAATTTTCTTTCTTCTAGGTCCAATTTTTTAATCTTCAATTCAAACTCCTTTTCCTCATACTGTTCTAAATATTCTAACCATTGTTTCTGTCTGTTTACCTTTCTTTTTCTGGATCTTATGGGACCTAAAAAACTTAGTTGGTAAGGAACAAAATTACCCAAAAATATTCTTAAAAATAAGTGTAGCAGCTCTGAATCATTCAACTTTCGGACGATTTTCATTTTACATAAAACTTTTAAATTCAAAGGAAAATGTATCTGTACTTTTACTAAATTAAGGATTTTATACATCCTCTAAATTTCTAACAAAAAGCCAATTTACACACCTGCTGTTTTAAAAACTTGTGATGGACCAGGCAATTCCTTGACATCTTTCTTAACAGTTGGAGATTTATTTTGTTGTAATGCATTGGTCTTCTCTAGAATAAATGCATATTGTATTTGTTTGATCATAATTATAATTTATAACTTACGTGTGTCCTTTTCCATGTTAATACATTCAAAATTAGTTTGCTCCCTCTCAGCTTCAGATACAATAGTTTCTTCAACAACTTTTGTTATGTCTAATAACCGTAAATCCGTAAACACGATATGTAAACGAGCAGTTTTTTCACTTGGTTTAGTTTCCAGTGAAGATAGCCTCAAATGGGTTTGACTTGACACTGACAGAATGAAATATTGGTGGGGCGTTTGGCAGTGTTGGAATCTTGGAATCTACATTACAAGTGAAGTGAAACGTAAAACATACAACACATCATTGTTTATTATTCTGTGACATCATTCTAACTCGATGATACATTAATTATTATAAGATGGTTTCTTACCTTCATGCACAGGAACAAGACTAGCAGTACCACCAAACGGAAGGGTGCACAAATAAAAACGTGTCGACTTTTGTCACTGACACTGAATAACATCTCTTCTTCTGAATTTTTTCTCTGCTTATGAAAGGTAATAGACAGTTGACTGAAAAACAATAACAATTAAACTAACCTCAAATTCTGTTTATCACATTTTCACTTTCACATTGAAATAATGTGCTTTATTTAACTGCTCAAATTTTGTTTAGATGGACTTAACACGATTTAGTTGTTTTGCTGGAACTTCTAGGGGCTTTTTACTTTGTAAGTATTTTAACGTACATATAACAATATATTCATACATCTTTTTTAGCTCTAGGTGAAAAACCAAAAGATATAAAACATGTGAAACCAGAGGCTTCATCTGAAGTAACTGCTCTTGCCTTTAACAAAGATCAGAGCTCAATATTCGCCGGTTTTAAGAACGGTGCCATACAGTCCTATGATCCCTTACTAAATGAATTCAAAGATACCATATCCAATCTTTCTGGAAAAGGAAGTGTTGTAGGTTTAGGTTTTACAGAAAAAGGTCTACTTGCTGGAAAAGCAGATGGTACTGTGAATATTTGGAGTGAAAAGAAAAATGAACATTTTAATCTCAGTATTGGTAATGAGGGAACACTTGATTGCCTTGTACTAAATGAAAATAGAAATTGTTTTGGAACTGGAGGTGAAAAAAATGATTTGAAGCTCTGGGATATAGAGACACAACAATGCATTTTTAAAGCCAAATCGGTATGTATTATTGTATTATTTTTTACAATGTATTGTTCAATTCAATACAATGATTAATCTTCTATTTCATAAAAAAATAGTTGAAAATGTTTTTTAGTCTAGTAAAATTGAGAAGATAACTTTATAACTAATCCATTTCAATTGCCAATGTGCTTAATGCCTTGTCAGTTTTTTGTACAATGGACAATAGTCTGAGTATATATACCATATTAAGTATGTGTCTACCAGTGGTGGCTTATATTGGCCATACTGTATAGTTTTGTCATAATTTTTCATTTTTTTGGGGAAAATCTTAATTCAATAGTAGTTTAATCACAATATTGTTAATGGGACTTTTGTAGAGAATAAAAATCAAAAAAGATTTTATAATACAATTGTTTTTGCAAACATTCAGCTGCTAATGACTTCATATCAATGTTGCTCCAATTTTATATTATTTACGAAATAATTACGATTTTAGATGGGCCATGATAAACTTAATTTACCAATACCTACATCCATAAGAGGTATTACATTTTTTCCTGAGGATCCCCATTTAAGTTGCTGTTGTACAAAAGAGGGCCATGTATTGCTATATGATGATAGGAAACAAAGGCGACCAGTTGTAAAGTTTCTTGAGCCAAAAGCAAGCTATACTACTATCGCTTGCGCTTATAGGGAGAGGTAAATATGTGTAGCTTTTATGTATTTATCAAAATTATTAACTTACAGGGCAAAGATTTATATACTTTTATCACAGGAAATGATAATGATATAAAAATTTTAACCAAAATGTTTTTCAACTGTGTTTTATATAGCCAACTTGGCCTGGGAATGATAAATGCATTGATGTATGTACCTTTTAATGATAATTGAATCTGTTATTGATTTTTATCTCATACAAAAAATATAAATTTGGGTCCTTAGTTTGCTTGTTTGTGATTATCATAGAAACTTATTAAAATAAATGATTTTTAGGCAATGTTTGGTGGGTACAACTAAAGGATATATGCAACTACTAGATATGAAAGCTGGCAAATGTATGAAAACTTTCACAACATTTACAGGAAGTGTTAGTAGTATTGTATGCGATCCATTGGAACCTTATGTCTTTTCTGCAAGTTTAGATAGATATTTACGAGTTCATCATTTAGAAACTAAAGAATTATTGCATAAGGTAAGTTATAATCATTCAATTAGTTATTAAAAATAGTTTTTATATTGGCTGTAGTGAACTATTTCCAATTAAATCACTAATATCGCATAAAGCTGTCTAGATTTTGGCCTTGTTAAATGTACTTAAATGTATTAGAGTGTACCATTTCTTCTTTCTGAGCATCATAGCAGTTTTTCTTTGTTTGTTTCTGGTGCATTCCTTGTCCTACAAGACCCTAGGCAATTGATAATTACACCTAGCAGAATCCCTGATGATATGAGAAGGTAATAACCATGCAATACAGCAACTATAGGGGAGGTGAAATTGCATGTTGTAGCTAAGGTCACCTTTATATGGAAACAGACTCATAGGGGCATTGGTTCTGCCTAGAATAAGAAAGTTGTGGTGTAGCTACAAAAACCTCACATTGCTGACCTCTTCCCAAATGTTTGGTTGTGAGGTGATCTAGTACTCACACTCCTTTATGTTTACCATAACAGAAGTCATGCAATCAATTGGTTTCATGAAAAAAAAACTGTAAAGGAGGTGTAAAATCTCCTTATGCATTTGGTAGATATATTTAATTTGTATACAATATCCAAAAGATTACATTTAATATATTAATTATATAAGAAGAAGCTTTTATATTTTCTTTTAAGTTTTTTAAAACTATAATACATCTAGAGCCAACCACTGGGAATATTCCATTTATAAGTGAATCTATTTCATATCCTTTGTGTAAGCGTAAGAACTGGTGAAGTCTTGGTTTACACTATCCTTTGCATCCCACCATCTCTGCAACGAATTTGTGTCAACACAAAAAACCTGTGAGTTCTTAGCCAGAAGTTCACTAGGTATATAATCCTTATAGCTTTTTCTGGAAATAAAATTCAAGTGATGATACTGGCTTATTAACAGGAATAGAATAGAAATATGTACAAGAAATTCCCAACACCTGTGAACCTTAACAAATATATGGGCCATATACTGAAAAGTCAAAAAACGAATATTGGCAGATAGTTAATAGTGAAATGGAGCCGGATATGTATAGGGTACAAAAAAATAGTCTGAAAATCATTAAGAGGCAGGACAAGGGATATGAAAGAAGCCACGTAATTTTAAAAACAATATTTATTTATTTATTTTATTTATTTATTAAATAGATGGGATCACTCTATTACAGCATTATAGTAACATTATATTTTTTAATCTAATTTATCTTATAACTACACTTTAAAATACAATACCTACTTAGAAATAATTCTAGAGTTTACTATAAATCATGGTTTTAAATTGATTTAAACTTAAATTAAAAGGATCTACATCACAGTGACTATATAAAAATTCTAAGGCTGTATCAAATGGTCTATGCTGTGGAATATTGAAGCTTATTTTACTTAAAAGTTCCAGACATTGAATTAAGTTATTTAATAATTTCTCCCATAAATTTAATAATAAGTCCCATAACCTGTCAATATCCTTTTGCAATATACCTATGTATGTCAGATATAGATTTTATACATCTATATAATAAGTCATCTGCAAAAAGTAAAACTAATAATTCAAGATTATCAGAAATATCATTTATAAAAAGATTTAATAGTAATGGTGAATAGTGGCCTCATTGGGGACACCAGATAAAACCTCAATTGATTCAGATAGGAAATTAAATAGTTTCACCCTTTGTTTTCGATCCTTTAAAAAACGTGATATCTATTCTATGGCATCCTTAGTAAATCCTAAATTGTGGAGTTTTGCAAGCAAAATGTCAAAATTCATCCTCAAGATTACTCTTCCTGTGTTATCAAGCTCTATGACAGAAGACTCAGCTGTTTGAAGTTATCTAAAAGGTTCTTCCGTTCTACATCTGGTAAAATAAAATTGCTATCTTAAAGCATCTTCATAAAAGTAAATGAGATAAAAGGCTAGGCAAAAGTTTATTTTTTGACTCACTAATAGGTGTATTAAAAATTCTGTCCCAATATTCACACCCTGTACAAAGTTTATTAAAAGAAGAACATACTTGATATGTTTTACTCAACATATAGTGTGTGATACTCTACCAGAATTTTTGGTAAACCACCACTTCTTGCAGTTCTTCACCCACCCTTTAGCATTGACCAACACTTCTTTGTCCCCTTCCTCTCAGATACTGTGGTAATGTTGTTTCTTCTACTGTAGTGTAAGGATGATGTTGACACTGTCCATATTAGTTTCCTTAACAGTATAAACTGAGTAGTTGATGTAAAATGTTTACCCTTTGTATGAAATATAAAGTAAACCTTTTGTTAATATTTTTGTTATAACTATTCACTATTGGTATGTTTTAGGTATACATGAAAATTAATTTGACGACATTGTTAATAAAGCCAGTCGGTAAAGGAAGAAAAAGAAGAGACTGCTGAAAGGACAAAAGATAAAGAAACTATCGTTGGTGACAATGAAGTTGACGAAGGTATTGATGAGGAATATGAAAATATTTTCAGCAATATGGAAGTTATAGGTGAAAAATTGAAGAAGAAGAAGAATAAAAATAAAAGAGAGATAGAGGAGAAACAAATGCAGTTGCCTGTAAAGAAAACTAAGAAATTGAAACTAAATACCGATCAGGAAAAAATAAAAGCCAAAAGGAAAATAAAGTCCAATAACTCTTAAAGGATATTTAAGAAAAGTGTTTTTTATTAAGGCAATAAAATCGTTATAAATAAATAATATGTGTATTAATTTTTCATAACATCACTTACTCAAAGACACGATATAACTAATAAAACAACTATTGCACAAAATTATGTCGCAATCACCAGAATTCTACATTCTACAGCGATATATGATTATGTTTTTTTAACAATTCGATGCCTTTTTTGTAGAACGAATTTTCTTTAAAAATACAATCGATCCAGAATTCACTTCATTATCATGATGTGTGACCACTGGCAGCCAATGGTCGCCCGTTGGGTTTTCTAGAATCTAAAGTTTTACATGGTGTGGAGGCCAGCATACGCATAACTCCTCAAAAAGTCCACTTTTTTATATCTAAAATCGTTACTTCCTAGTTTGTCTTCTTTGAGAAGATCATTTCAGTGTAGTGTATATTTTGCTTCCTTAACTATAGTCAACCATGTTTTTCTTTCCTTTGCTTGTTTCCCATTCTCGTATTCATTTCCCTCAATTGTAGGACATCCCTAACGTAATATTTGGCGACCGTGACAGGACTTATATACGGGTGTGTTAATAGTTACTTATTTTAGTGCAAACTTTTTTTCCGGCGAATAATTTTGTTTTTGTCGTGAGGCTCGGCCGAAGTTAACCTTTTTAAGCGAAAAAATGGAATCAGATAAAAAACGCTTAACGGTGCTTCGTAGTGCATTTACGAAAGTTGCTACTGTTTTGGAACAGTTTGTTAGCAGAACCGGAGGACACTCGACCCATTCAGAAAATTAGGGTACGGTGGGAACTTTTACAAGTAAAGTACAATGAGCTTTGCGAATTGGAAAGTACGGTACTTGAAAGTATATTGACAGAAGCTTCCGAAGGAGAGTTAATCAGTGAGACGGAGACAAAAGATAAATATATGCAAGGTACTTTGAATTTAAGTACAAATATGATGATAACCAGGTTCAGTGAGTTTAGAGTCATCAAGTACTAAAGGTAAGCGCAAATTTAAATTACCTCCAAGCGAGTTCAAGAAATTTAATGGAGACTTGAAAGATTGGCTTCCTTTTTGGTCACAGTTCAAAGTAGTGCATGACGATCCATCAATTGATTTGACTGATAAGATAGCTTATTTGAGACAAGCCACTGTAGAGTCTAGTAAGGCCAGACGATTAGTGGAGAGTTTTCTGCAGTAAACCGATAATTACTCAAAAATTATTCAGAGTTTGCAGTCTAGGTTTGGCAGGAGAGGATCTCCAGATTGAAGTTTACATTAGAGAGCTCTTAAAGTAAATTTTGAGTAGAGTTTCTAGTAGTTTTTGTAATAATTCTGCTCTTTATGATATGATTGAAAGTTAACTTCGTTCACTTGAGACCTTAGGCATAACTACTGACAAGTATGCGGCGGTACTGCATCCTCTTATTGAGTCATGTTTGCGAGAAGATATGATTCGACTATGGCATAGTTCTTCACAGTTTTTAAGGCCTTATGTTTCCGTGTCCATAGAAAAATGTCCGCAGAAACTGCAGAAATTACAGTTCAAAATGAACAAAAAATTGATTTAGCAACGGAAGGTTTTGGTTTACCGACTGAAAATAAATATAAATTCAATAGCTTCGTTGCAAGAAAAATGTAAAATTACGTAAGCAAGGAACTGATCAGCCCTTAGCTACCGCTGTTGGGTTAGTAAACTATGAGGTTTACAGCTGTGTATTTTGTAAAGGGCAGCTTGACAGTACAAATTGTTTTAAAGCACAACAATTTACTATAGAGCAGAAACGTCGAACATTGCCACAAAATAAAGCCTGTTTTCGATGTCTGAAAGTAGTATATTATGTTGTAAAACACATGCTGTTTTGATGTGGCCTAATTTGCCTGTTAATAAAATTTATACATCGGCCTCAAGAACTACCCGTTCGGAAGAAAATATAACTGAGGATCAGACTCTTGCTAATTTGAGTAATACACAGACTTTTTTACAAACTCTGCGAATAAACATAAAAAGTGCACATGGTACTAAACAAGTAAGAGAATTTATTGACACTGGATCGCAGAGGACATATATTTTACAAAGTACCGCGCAAGAAATGGGTTTTTCTATTAAGGGAAAGTAAAATATTGCATATGCATTATTTGGCGGTAAAAGCACTTATGAACAACGACATAAATTGTACGAGGTAACTACGTGTGAAGGAACCTACGCTTGTTCATTTGATGTCTTAGATCAACCAAAAATTTGTGCAGATGTCTTTTCTATGTATGACGGCCCTTGGATTGAGGAACTCAGTGACATGAATATTTCACTCAGCGATGTCGGAAAGACAGCACCGATTGTTTGGAGCTGATATTGTAGACAAATTGTATACAGGGAGGAAATATCAGTTACAGTGTGGTCTTGTTGCAGTTAAAACTTTGTTAGGCTGAACTCTTAAGGGCAAGGTGCAGGCAGTTGCTTCTAATTTTAGTATAAGTATGATTAAATTTTCGTTGTTTGTTAATAATTCTTGTGTAGCGGAACTCTGGGAGCTTGATGTTATTGGAATAACCGATCTGTAGAAAAAAATGACACGAGAGGTGGCAGCCAAAGAGGCTAAGAATTTTTTCAACGAGACTGTACGATGTGACAGCGAAGGGAGGTATGTTATGTTACCTTGGTTGAACAAGCATCCTTTAATTTCAGATAATTTAGTTATTGCTAGGAGAAGGTTAGATAATACTTTAAATAAGTTGAAAAGGTATAACTTGTTTGAATCATTGAACTTTATATTCAATGATGAGTGGTTGAACGAGGGTGTGATTGAAATAGTAAAAAATCCAGAAGAGAATAATTGCGTGCATTATTTACTGTCTTACTGATGAAAATGAGTTGAGAGTGTTTGTATCAGAAGCAACCGCCCTTATGGAGGAAGCTAAGATGGACTTAAAAGGGTGTGAGGCCTCTGGTAATACAAAAACAGTTGTCTCTGTTCTTGGTCTTCTCTGGGACTCTTTAAGAGACACTCTGAAAATCAATAGTGAAACTTTTTAAGGAATGGAATTGAAACGTCCCATAACTAAGAGACTGATGCTTTCCATAGCTCAGAGTATATTTGCCCTATTGGTTTTCATTTTATTCTTAACGTAATAAGAATATAATAGACTAGAATTTCTGTGTGATTGACCTAAAGAAAGCGTTTGACAGAGTAAGACTCAAAGATGTAACCCATCTTCTGTATAATAGACAAGTGTTCCTAAATATTACAAAAACTATCGAAAACATCTACCAAAACAACAAAATAGAAGTCAGAACGGATGGACAACTTACAGAATCTATAGAAACAGGCAGCGGAATAAGACAAGGGGATTCATTGAGCTCCATGCTCTTTAATTTGATTATGGATGAAATCATCACAAGCGTTAACAAAGAAATCAAAATACTCTGTTAAGCAGACGACGTAATATTGATAGCCCAAGATAAAAGTAGTCTGCAAAGACTGGTTCACAGATTTAACATAAGAGCAAAAGAATTTAATATGACAATCTCATCAGAAAACTAAAACAATAGTAGTCAGCAAAGAACCAACCAGATGTAAAATAGAAATTAACGGGATCAGTATTGAACAAGTAATGGAAATAAAATACCTGGCAATTACTCTGTCTAGTTATGGACACCTGGACAAAGAAGTAAGAGATCAAGTACAAAAAGCAAATAGACTGGTAGGATGCCCTAATAACACTATATGGCAAAATAGAGACATTAACACTGATGAAGGATGAAGTCAAGAATTTATAAAACTAGTGTAAGAATAATAATACCCAGTGGCGGCTCGTGGCTTGAGAGACGAGGTCGGCAAGGTATTTTTTGTCTCCTCAGATAGGTGTAATAAAGACTTCAATTATCATAGAAGGTTTTTTTCTTTAAATTTAGAACCTAAACATGTTTATAAATTAATTCTAGTTTACGGTGTTTGAGACATTTGAGACAAGCTTGACATTTCTCTCTTGTTCCATGGTGTTTCGACAATACGTTTTGATTCTTTTGAGACAAGAGAAATCTCGTTCATTTAAGGCAGACATTGGTGGTAATGAGAGAATTAATGACAATAATTTATTAACTTAGATAACAGTTTGTTGTAATGAATTGCAGTATATAAAATTATACATATCTTGTAACTAATCCCACCTTCCGAAAATATTTGGATTAGCATTAAAACTTTTAATTCATTTTTTAATTTTATTTTGTTAAAGAATGATGGATAATTTTTAATTAATCAGTCTAATATATGTCTTAGAAATTCTTTGGCGTAACTTTTAAATTTTGAATCGTCAAAGAGGTCAAAAAATGGCAAAACTTCAAAATTCGAAAAACGAGTATCTATTTGCATAATAATAGTTTCCAAAATTTCAAAATATACTCGTTTTTCGAGATGTGTTTCTGTGTCATGCCTTTGTCTTTTTTTGGGGGTTTCGGAAATATCAAGCGAGTCAAAACGTCACTGCCTACTGGAAATTACTATCATTACGAAAATCTCTGAGATTTTGCACTAGTTTTGTTATTCTATTTTTGGAATGAATACTGTCAGTTAACCGATTTTGAACAACATTGAATATTAAATCGGTTTGGATAAACACTTTCCTAAAAATATTTAAAAGTATGTTAAAAGAGTAATCATTTAATAAAGTTTTCAAACCGATTGCTTCACGGATCGAGATATCATCACTTCTAAATGTCTTCAAATCAGAAAGTAAATTAGATAATTCCAAATCGTATTTCTTAAACATCTTTATTACTTCTCTATAATTGCCTTGATTTAACGAATGCTCCGATTCATCGTGTCCCCTAAATATTAATTCCTGACAACTTAAAAAAATTACAATATCAATTAAACAACGTAAAACTGCGTGATTATTTTTTACAGTTTCGCTTTAATAGCATTTTCACTTTGGGCATTATCTAATGAAACATAAATATATTGTTTTTCAAATAAATCTAATTTAATCTGGCTGTATGTATGATCTTTCGAAATATCATGTTTATGTAAAGCCCTAAATAATTCCTTTAAATTATCGTAACCA